TATTCATTGTCTCTTTCCAATTCTTGAATTGGAAAGAGATGAGAAACAAATTGAACTTCGGTTAAGAGTTAACCGTGAGTTGTGGAACTGGGCCTAAGAGTATACGATTTGCAGGGAATGGAAGTAACTCGGTACTTGTAACGAGTCACTTCCATTCCCTGCAAATCGTATGGTTACAAGTTACTTTTTTGGGGAACTTTACTGATGACTGCGTTATTTTTTTTTGGTAACTATAACAATAATATAGATATATTTTTTTGGTAACGGTAACGAATTTTACAGTTACTTTTATTATTACCTTATTGGACACGGTTTGATTTGAATTAGTTTATATTTCTACGTACGTGAGATATCGGACAGATATCTCAGTTTGCAGCATATTTTACAGGTTTCGGAACTATAAAATAATGATTTTAAGAAAAAACGAAAAAATAAAGCTAGTGTCATTATTGTATGTTGCTTTTATTAACATTTGAACAAAATTATTACAAAAATACATTTTTTAGACTGATTTTAAAAAAGTAACAGAAAAATAACGAAAAGTTACTTTTTTAAGTAACGGTAACTGTAACGAATTACTTTTAAAAATCGGTAACTAGTAACGGTAACTTATTACTTTTTCTACTCGGTAATGAGTAAATGTAACTTGTTATTTTTAAAAAGTAACTTTCTCCATTCCCTGATTTGTAGTCATTACAGACGAAGACAGTATTTATGAAAATATATTATTGGGCTTTTGGATAATTACACAAATTATACTAATGTAAAATCTTCTGTGGAGGTAGAAAACAATAATATTTGTACAAAGAGAAATCTGCTGCAAAATGAGAACATTGAAATGGATAAATAGTCCTGAAAATAAAAAGATACTATAACGAAGTTGAAAAAAGGCTAAGTCTAAATTGAAAGAAACAATGAACAAATACTTTCGAAACAATGTCACATTCTATAAAATCGTGTGTCTTTATAAAAAAAGCTATAATAAATAACTGCACGAAAAGATCGACTTCGCTCAACTACCTAAAAATTTAGTGCATAAGGAGTTTAGTAAATAAATGAACAGTTTATGGCCAGTATAAAAATGATCCTTAACGCTCACAGTAGGCTATTTGCTTGATGTTTGTAGTACTGAAAGGGTTTAAACAATATATTTTAGTGTAAATTGCGTATAAATCATGAAATTGTATCTCGTCAAATTCGATTAAATTCTTCTATTGATTAATATGTCACACAAAGGTTGAATAATTTAATTTAATCAAACAATTGGCTTTTTATTTTATAGTGTAAAAGTCAAAATGTATGTCTCAAAATACTTTTTAAACACATTTGCTTATATATGTATATATGTATAGTATCAGTTTTTATAAGATTTCAAAAAATTTACGTATGCACATACACACAATGCATGCACGCACATGAGTGCTACTAATTAACATTAATTTCTTAACGCTCTTCTTAAAACTGAAACATATGAGACCGCTGTCTTAAGGACGTACAACATCGTCTCGCGATTAACATAGAAAAATTTTCCGCCAGTTAAGCGAAACGGAATACTCGATCTCATCATCACGAAATGTAGATCTTTCATCAATGCTGAAGGAAGCATGAACCAGGAAGTTGTGTACAACGTATAAAATATGTCTTCGCTTTCCTTTTGCAAGAATTCACTACCATAGGTGTATATCAACGATTGCATTATTAAATAGTTTAAGACAAAAACACTCTTTGTTGCATCAACATGATTTTTCTCGTTTATGCAAATATTTAAATGCAATCCTAAAAATAACCATTATTTTAAAAGAGTACGAACATGTACGAACATGTTCAAGTTGTGAATCGTGTGACTACTAAATTAAATGTGATAAAATGTATTAAATATAAATTTCTTTAATTTTTATACAAATACGTATGTAGATGTTATATAAATATAAATGCGGAATAAAATCTTTGATATACATTACCTGTTAATGTAAGTAAAATCGTCAATATCACAACTTGATATAATATAAGAAAATGAAAAGTGTCTTCCAAATTTTGATACAATTCTATTAACAAACTGTGCCTGTTAATCAAGCTAACGAATTTTTTTCGATAATTTGCTTCGGTGTTCGGCTCGTTCCTAAATGTTTTGAAGTTGTTTTTAAGCACCTCGAGTTGACCGGTGAGATGTATTGTGACGTTGAAGAAGAAACTATCCACAGTAAATAATAAAAAAGATAATACGCATGATTGAACAATCTGGATAGTCAGGATTATTGTATACTGTGGACCAGTAATCAAGTGACTCAATGGACCAGATGGAATCAGAAGTAACCAATTTGTCGTATTAACTGTATGTAACAAAAATAAAAAATATTAGAATATTACAATATAATTTAGTTTACAATTACATTACAAAACTAAATTAAAAAAGATATATACTTCAACATTTTTTATCAAATTTAAATTTATATTTAATTTAATTTAAATTTAAATTTAATTAATATGTTTATGTGTTCTCTAAACGGCCTATCTAAATTTTTGTGTTAAACATAAAATAAATGTGTTAGGAAGTAACACAAATATTATGCAAATATTAACACATGAAATGTAACACTGATATAACTTCTAAGAAAATTGTAGAAGCATCACCAATAAAATTAATATCAGTAAAAGGTTAAGTTAACATGTTTTATTCATTTATCTTAGAATTTATGTTTTGAAATAAATTATTTTTATGTTGATTGATTATTTTCTCATAAATTGTGTTATTTTAACTCTAAGAAAAGTTAATTTAACATAAATATTCAAACATCACAATAACATCATGTAAAATTAACACTGGAATGTGTTAAAAATTATAACAAGAGGACGGTTTTAACACAAAAACAAGAATGTATTTTATTGTAAAAAACAACAAATACAATTTTACCATTCATTAAATTCAGGTCCGTGAAGAATATCTGCTTCAGATTAATGAATATGACGACTGCTATATACGTGCCAAGGCACACATATAACGAGTATAATAACGTAAAGGTGAGTATTTTGCCTTGAACTGCATACTTCTTCATAATTTTTCTAGTTTCGATATTATCTTTAACAGATAACCAATCATTAATAGCAGCGTTAATGTTCATACTCAGCCTCTTTTGACTGACAATAAGACATAGGTTTTTTGTAAGTCCAGTCGACGTAGACGCAAAGAATGTTATACTTTCTATATTTGAATTGGCGTCCTGGTTGCTCCAAAGGATCTCCGTCGTTAGACAAGGTAGTATCATAAGCTAAATAAAAATTAGTATCTAAGTAAATACTAATAAATATAAAGGAGTAATTTGCAATAAATGATTTTATTTTTATTGTAAGCATAAACTTGCCTAAAACACAGAAAAATAAAGTTTTTAATTTAAAAAATTTAAAAATAAAATTCTAAAACAATAACATGTTCGTACCTGTGCAATCAAACAAAAACCCCATTGTATCTTCGTGAATACTGTCTGTTTCTGTAATGGCCACAAACCATATCCTTTTAGGAATAGTCTATGAATGGAGAAAACGTAAGCGATGTCATCGTTCCAACGTTTATCCGTCATTCTGGCAAGCGGAAGGATTCGAATGATAGCTCATTCGAAACTATTTCATTCAGTTGTTACAAATTAAATTTTGCCAAATTACAATCAATTTATCATCGTTCAATTCTTATTATAATTTAAGTTATCAGTGCCATATTAACTTATTATTTTAATGAACTCATGTTTTATTAATTCATGTAGAGACACTTCTTTTACGAACAAAGTGAGTGAAGAGATTAGTGTACATCATGTCTTTACATGTTCTTACGTTTCTATTGTTATAGTCATTTCTAGCACAGGAATAGCAATTGAAATTAATAATTTTATGGTTCCAGTAATAATTTTATACATATTCATCGTATCAATGCAACTCAATAAAAACAATATAAAACATTATATAATTATTAAAATAAAAATGGTTCTCAATTTTTACTTATAACATTATGCTTTAATACAATAATAATTTATATATTGAATATTAGATTGAACATATATAAATATAAAAAAAATTATTTATCTTCCCACTATCTGTCTCTTTGTGTCACCGTCATCGTCCAACGTCGTCTGACGTCTTCCAGCATCGTTCGTAGTCATTTGATGTCATCCGACGTTTTCCGATGTCGCACAGTGGGGTATTTGTCCGATTTAAGCGGTCAAAACCGATTTTTTAAAACTCGCTCCAAGTTGAAAATAAATACTATTTAAGAAAGTTTAAGAATCAAAAAACAATTGATTACTTACTGTTCATTAAACGTAAACAAGCGATTAGTCCAACAGTCGAAACTTATTTGATAGCACAGGCTCACAACAAAGTACCCTGTGCTGGGATGGAGACCCAGCTATTCTAATGTATTTTGAGTCACTGAATGCGAATCTGACATCAAAATAGGACCATCTAGGGTAAATTTTCAATCTAAAGCGAAAAAATGACCTATTTTTCCCATTTTTGACCCATTTTTTCGCTCTAATCAAAATACATAAGAATAGCTGAATCTCCACCTCAGCACAGGGTACTTTTTTTGTGAGCCTGTGTAGTTAGACGTATTTTTTCTCGGTGCATCGACGAGATACTATTAAAGTCGGCGCTTATAGAAATTCGCGTGTCTTAAATTTACGAGATTAAGAGTAAGAAACTATAATAATGCGATACTAATTTCATGATTTATTAGTTTCGTAGACGTGTATATGTATATTTATATACACATAAGGAGATGCTGGATCGACAGCCGAACTTGATTGAAGTCGATAGTACATATTTTTTAAAATTCCAAATTCGATAATAGTGACACCTTTCATTCATTTCTTATACCTAATGGCCTAGTTTACACCCTATGTTTAGGCCGCCACCTATACTCTAAATCTAACCTAAACACGAAAAGTCGCGACGGTGTAAATACTTATAACCTCGCTTAGGTGAGGGATCTTTTTCAAGATCCCTCTCTTAGGTTGCACGACCTACCTAGCTTTAACGCATGTAAACGCAGGTAGACGGTCTAAAGGCGTAAAGTGTACTAAGAAACTAATAGATGACTCTGTTTCATGTTTTGTAATATGCAATAAGCTGTGTACGTAGAAATGGATTTTATATTAGTGGATTTTATATTATAGGTCTATATTGGGGTAAACGCTCTGTTCGAGACCTGTCTTAGGTGGGGTAAAGGTCAGGATATAGGTCAGGTCGTTGGGTGTAAACTAGGCCATTATATATCGTTGTGTCTCGCTCAAACGCATTCATCTGTCCTTATCTAACATATTGCAACGCCATCTCTTAGAAAGAGATCAACTAAAATATTGCTCGGTTTCATGGCTTCACATCAATTTCACTCGTAATATACAAACGAAATTTTCGGCGACTCTTTTCTTTTATACTAAAACCTCTACCTCGTTTCTAAAAGCATAGGATTGTTCTTCGAGGTTTTCTGTAGGCTGCTGGCTACTTATTTTAAATAAGTAAAATCTGAAACTCTTATATGCAGCCAAAGACATAGGGTGCGTTCCGTTTCTTGCATGATGCGCATAATGCATCGTTTATCCTTGTTGCTCACCAAATGTTAAACAAGGACAATGGATGCATCATGCGTATCATGCGCGATACGGAAAGCACCTATAGAGAATGGACTGCGCAATTCGTATCTAAGTAGTGTATCAAATGTGGTCGACAATAATGAGAGAGAGGGACCGTGGGAGACAGCCAATCTCTCTTTCTCTCTCCTATTACACCATTAAATGGAAAGAGATAGAAATGGCCCTCTGCCACGGTCCCTCTCTCTCATCCCTATCGACCATTTTGACACAAGGATCACGCAGTCCATTCTCTATGGCCGGTATTCATAGTCAGATCTTATATTCAAGACTGTCTTAAGTACGGTCTTAAGAAGTCATAAACCAATCAGAAGGCTGCATTAGAGTCTTAAGACATTACTTAAGACGATCTTGAAATAAGACTCTACTATGAATACTGGCCTATGTCTTTATGTGCAGCACATATTGTGACGTGTCGACTACAGAAGTCGATAACAAAACTGTAAGTCTTAAATTTTTTTTCGTTTTTATTTAATTGTAGCTGGCGAATTGCGTTGTTGTCGATACTTTAATTGTGGAGGAGGACTTTTCAATCCATAAACACAATTAAGAGAAAAGAGTTTTTAATAATTAATGGTAAAACAGGACATTCCAGCATCCCCATAATAATATTCGATTTTTAATTTAAAACTGTGATTTTAATGTTATCATCCGTGTTTGATTATCAACAGAGATGATAAATGCAGAGAAAAAATTGTAATTTTTCGCTAATATATAAGATATTATATATATAAAGCATTAAAAGTATGCGTACTTATTTATACATTTATATAATAAAAAATCACGAATTTAATAATGTATTATCGAAATATTTATGAATAATCGTAAATATTAATTGTCGGTAACATTATCGTTTTTCAATTATCCCCGAGCCCCGGGCCCCCATTGTGTGAGAGTCACAAAAATTTGACCAGGGCCCCTACCAGTCTGTAACTGTTTTACATGCTTACCGACAGTTGTCGGTGTCGTTGCGCAGCTTTTTCACCATACAAAATATCTGCGCAACGACACCGACAATTATCGAGTAGTAGTGTAGGTGTGTAAAGGCAGTTATAGAGAATAGGGGCCCAGGGTCGACAGGCTTTAATAGTATCTCGTAGGTGTCGGCGTTCATAGCATTCTTTCAAAAGTGAATATTTTTTATCCGGGATATAGTTTCAAGTGAATGGTTATAAATTGTGATAAAACGTACGTGTGAATACATTTTAACTATTTTCATTAAGATTATTACAATTTTAACTGAGCTAATTAAAGCGTTTTGAAAATATTTTTTGTTATTTTCTTCGGCCAATTTTAACAAACTCGATGATATTAGTAGTACTTCTCTGTGCTTCTCGATAATTTTTTTTTTTTAATAAAAATGAAGATTTCTACTTCACGATTTCGTAAAAACCGTGGAATTGCGCGGTTTTCCACGATATAACTAATATAAGTTTATCAAAGTATTAGTAATAAATATGAATTTCATGACCGCTCATATGTTTATTTCTCGTTTTAATTATTTAAATTTTATTTTCGAATCATTGAATGTCAACATAATGATTCGAGCTGATATTATTATATATACATTTTAAGGGGATGCTAAACCGATTACCCAACTCAATTAAGGTCGATAGTACAGACTCTTTTAATTCCAAATTCGATAATAGTGGTGACATCTTTGATTTAGTTTTTACATTATATTATATAATATATATCATTCTGTCTTACTCAAACGCATACGTCTGTTCTTATCTAACATATGCCAGCACCATCTATCGCAAGACCGCGCAACTACTGCTACGCGGAATTTCGGCTCTGTTGACAGTCCCAGTCTTCGCAAAGCATCAGTATACACGTATTTTCTATTCGGTGGAAATATTGCTTTTCTAGACTTTCAATCTTAGTTCTACAAACTTAGTATCGTTCGTTTCAATAATGTGACCTCAGCTGCACGCTTATTTTCAAGATATGGACTCTAAAATTCTTATATCAAGCAAATACATATCTGAGGTAACAGCTGTACAGCCAAAAGTAAGTGAATTTTTAATTTTTTTTTCGATTTTCTCATAAAATCCAGTGCAGCTGAGGTCCTGTTGATGCGTACTATAATTTAAGTAATAATACTTTTGCAATCCGTACATCCAATACAGAGATTTTTCACCGAATAGGAATGTGGTAAAACAGGGAGCTTTAGCATCGCCTTAAGGGAATGCTGGAAGGACCCAATTATCGACATTGCAGTTTGATCAAAATCTCCGAATTGACTAAATGGAATAAGAAATTCTTTTACAGGATTAAAGTAAACGCAAAATCCTAACGTAGTGCAGTGGATTTTATACTAAAATAAAAAAAAAGTTAAAAAAGTCGCTCCAGCATCCCCTTAAACTTATGTTTTAATTAAAGAGAATAACTATAATAGTTAAAAATTGTAAAAACTATATTTTTCTCATAAAAAAGTATTTCCTACATCTTAATCTTCGGTGGTCACACATCCTAAAAATTTTTAAATGGTCATACGGAGTCCAATGGACCCCACAAAATAAAATCGTTGCTATATCAAAAGATGAAGCTGTAGCAGTTGAAAAAATTTCAGGACATTGTTTAAACATCCAAAATTGTGATCTCATTACTGAACTTGCTAATTTTTGAATTTAAAGTACTTAAAAATTTTTATAAATGAAAAAAACAGCGAAAAATGACTGTTTTTACTTAAAAATTTATAACTTTTTGAATTTTTAATATCTTTTCATAAAATTTTAGGGGTAGACTCTACAGAAGGTATACTTATAGTAAAAAAATAATTTGTTTGTGTTTATTCCAAAAAAGGTATTTATTTAGAAGATTGAAGTAGGTGATTCCTATATTAAAATTGGCATGTCACGTTCTTTTGAAGCCTATTTTCAAAGGGAGTACTCCGATTTCGATGTGGCTTCGTATTCGGGGGTTTTAGGGATCGC